GGTCGATCGCCTGCGCCGTAAAAATAAGCCGCCCGTTGCGTCGTTGCCGTTGATTTACGGATGATCGTTTTTCCTACGGATGGAATTGCGGGAAACACTGTAGCCCATTGTGCAAAGCGAGCGATCGTCACAGCTTCTCCTTCGCGCCCACAATAATGCCATGTAATATTATTTTATATTTTTAAAGGGAAGGGGGGGAGGGGGGTCCACCTTTTCCATTGATATCCTGATAGCTGTATAAACTAAAAGTGGACTGAAAATAAAACACACCAAGTGGCCCAGTAATCTCACAAAATAAGTTAACGTTGAAATTGTTTTTTCCCCATCTATATAGGACTTATAAACAATATTGAAAACTTTAAGTTGTTTTTACACGGAAACAGCAAATTTCTTAAGGCTGTGACCGACATAAGGAACAGCAAAATATAGTTTTCCCGTTCACATTTCATGCAATTTTCCGTTAATGGAGTTGCCACTACAGCGCGGGCGGTTGGGGTGGAGAGGTTGACAGAAACATACCGTTATTTGAATATGAACATGTTTCACGTTCAGAGGCGCCTATTACGAGAAAAACGAAAACAGTTACAAAAACACACACACACAAACACACACACACACACGCACACACAAACACACACACACACACGCGCGCACACACACTGCTGTAGCTATAGAGACGCTTATCGCGAGAAAGATTAGCCCCTTTTTACCTGTAAATAGATCTGCGCTTCGTCTATATGTATAACAACTAGTTTTTGAGAGAAAACCTTGTTTAAAACTAATAAAAATACGTTCAGTGTTTAGGAACTTTTCGCAATGTCTATTATAATGTATTTATTTAATAGGTATAATGAGGAAATTTATTTTTTGTTTAAAAAAGAAGGCTTTAAACATGAAGTAATGAGGAGCAATATAGACTTTTCAAGTTCTCCCTTGATGTGTATGTAGTGTCCACTTATTCGCAGTTTAGCAATTGAATTTGAAAACGAAGCTGAGAACCTTGTTTGTATTATGCTTTTCACTTAATTCGGCTATTATATTCGTTCGTTGTTCAATTCGCTTTTACAGAAGGGCCGAAAAGCTCGTCGTGCTGGTTTTCGCAATCGTCTTTCTTCTCTGGTATACAAGAAAGCCAATCTTCTTCAGGGGATGGGAGAAAATCCTGGGCATTCAGTGAGCCACCGGAGTTGCTTCTCTCGGTTCTTCAAAGGCAGCTTTTTTAATAAGAAAAAAGACTTATACCAGCCTCTGCTTCAAGAAGAAATGTTTAGTATTCGGTGAAATAGCAAATGTTAGGTCAAGAAAACGAGTTTGGGCGACGTAATCCCGTGACGTCACATGCGTCCGTGACGCGAGATGTCTCTGCAGACTTGCCTTTATCGACAGTTAAAAACGTTAATCCAAAGTTAAAATGTGTTCAGCTATTGGGGAAGTTTGATTATGAACTGAAAAGAAAAGGAAGGAAAGCAAACATCTTGAACTTTGCTCTTGTTTTCTGTTCTGTCAAATGAAATACCCCGGTGTGCCACGGCGTTACTTGTTACTTTGAAATGAAATTGACTATTATTTCCTGTCGCTTGTGGGAGTGAACTGCTTGAGAGGGACCGGCTGTGTGGGTAAAAAAGAAACCGTGTTTTCTCATCGCAAATGTAAAGTACGCACTGTCTGACGCTCGACCCCGCTCAAATGTAGCTTTAGCGCGGATGGAACCAAAGGCAAAAGTTTCGGAACTTATCGTTTTCTAATTAAAATTAAAAAAAAGCTTTTTTTTAAAATATTTATTGAATGAGAAGAAGGGCCCCTTTTTGGTACCAGAGGCCATTCAACTATTTGCGAGCGGACAGCCGTTTTCTCACTGGTGGGCAATCCGCTTTTAATCCAGATTCTCAGTTGTTTGCCGCCATTTTTTATAGTAAAGCGAAAGGAAGCAACGTATAAGTTTAAAATCAGATAAAGGTAAGTTCGGAGACATTGGAATCTCGTCTCGACCGCAAGTGCTATATTTGGGTGGAGACTGCGCGTTGGGCGAGTATTTTCGAGGTAAAAAAACACACAAAAACGTGATTTTGTTTTAGCCTAAATGCATTAGGAAAACAAATAAACGCCGCATTCGGGGCACTAATAAAAAGTGACAGAAAATTCTTGCCGCGCAACGCATGCAAAAAAAACAACAAAAAAACACCCGGTGAATGGATTTTTTCTTCAAGGAATCGTTTTAAAGCCATGCGGGCAGAAACCGAGGAAGAGGAGGAGACAAGTGCGCGCGGGGACGTTAAAACGCCGAGGTCTAGCTGAAATGATTAATGGGTGGCTAGACGCAAAGCTACCGTTATCTCCACTGCACTTGCCGAACGCTTTCGAATGTGAAAGCCAAACACAGGGTGCCGGCGTTCCGCGTTCTAACCTGGTTCGACGAGCTCAGTGGGCACAAAGGCTGCTATAGCTCTAGGTGTACCCACTAATCCTTCCATCCAGAGCTCAATTTTCTGACTTCCCCACATGCTTTCGTCTCATCTTTCATTTTCTGCCCGCGTAGCCTTAAATGGAGAAAGCACACAGACCTTGCTTGCTCGTGGTCGCTTCTGTGGCTCCGTAATAAGGCCGTGGAAAAATTGACTTGACGTCATAGCGCCTCCGATCAAAGGCCTAGCCAACTCCTCCTAGAAACTAAGGCCGTACCGCTCTTCTCGTAACGTCGCAAAGGAAGGCCACCAGGGGCGCGTGTCGAAGCGAAGGCAACGCGCGTAGATCGACCGTCGTAACGCGCTTTCAGTCACAAACGCGTGTCTTATTGGCTAAAATTAAAGCTACACATAGCGAAGGGTCTGAAAATCATTTTATTACACGGGAAAAATATTACGCCGCTAGATAATCGGTACCAAATGGCAAAAGGTACGCGTATGAGACGTATATATAAAAATGTGATTGTTTTAAGTCGAAAACATTGATTCACGCAATTATTGATGTAGGAATACATATTTTATACAAAAATACTTCGACAAAATGGCAAGACATGCAGTGATTGGACAAAGAAAAACAGTTCACAGTCAAAAATCCGGTGGACGTAGTGAACGTGGACGCGTCTAGACAAGTGTCACGATCATGTAAGCGATGCTATGGCGTGCACTCACGGAATTCTTGCATTATACCCCGGCCACGTGGCAAAACTAATGTAATTGTCGATCGAATTACATTATGGGGTCGACAAACCAGCTTGCGACGCTCGTATAATCACTCAAGACCGCGAGCTGATTAAGTCCCATATCATTGAAAGAAAATATAGGAACTTTGCCGCCTGTCAGGGGTACTAAACTTACTATTTACGGTCAGCTAATTTACTTCTCCTTATGGGCTTGAGCGGCCTTAGAACAAAACATAACTTATTTTGTATGCAATAATACCATTACTTTAATATAGTTAAAATTCAAGTACACACGCGGTGAAGGCAATAAAATAAGAATAGTAGAAATAAACATATAAGCACCAACAATACACTTTCATTAATCTCACAACTTGTTATTTTTCTTCCAGGGAAAACTAGATTACCACGCATATTTACAAATGTCGACGCAAGTGCACATGAATAACGACGAAGAACAAAATTCCATTTTATCACAAAATTAAAAAAAAAAAAAAAAAAAAAAAAAAAACACTGCAGCGTTTTACTCGGGTCCTACATGACCAAGAAAGCCCATAAATAAGTTGTGTCTCGCCTGTCTATCGTATCCATACGTCCCGCATTATCCGCCACGAAGAGCCTTCAACACGAACTCCAAGAAGTCTCTCTCTGTTGAGAGAGAGGTCTATTGATAATCGACCAGTGTCAATGTTGACTAGTTCCCACACATGTCACTCAAACCGTAGCAGGTCTTGTTCCGCGAGTCCAAGTAAATGCCGCTGTATCCAGCAAAAAAAATAAAAAATAAAATAAAAATAAAACAAAACCCGAGACTGCGGTGACGAAAGAAAAATGACGGGAAGAAGTAAATAAGTCTCAAAAGAACCACACACGGGAGCAGCGGCAGCATTGTAGGACGAAAGGCTTAACGTTGTCGACCCATCTTTTGCTAGTGCGCGCTCACTGCGGCAATTACTGGATTTTTATCGGTTTCCTTCCTTTCTGAAATGTCTCAGGGTCCCTTTTCAGACAATCAGCAGCTCACACACAACGTAAATTTACCAGAACCGGAGCCCATATGAGGGAAGAAAATGTCGCACTACCGCCGGCTCATTCGAGAAGTCTGGGGAGCTGCGGGACTGTACGTAGTCCCGCGGTTACGGGAATAATCATAAATATAAATTTGTTACTTTCAACCATGGTAACACGCTGTCTATTACATTTATATGAAATATATAATAAATTATACAAGAGTGCGCTTTTAAAACGTATATTAATGTCAGATAAACGCACACGAACACCACCGCGCCGCTTGACAAGAACATTTTTGTTCACATCGATAGCAGATATTTTTTCACGCAGTTGCGCCATGGCATTCCTTCTCCGACATTGTGACGTAACCACTCGGACAGCTACGGCCTCCTTTTCGAGGAGGTGTTGGCCTAGCGCTGCGCGGAGTGAGCAAAGGGGAAAGGGGGGGGGGGGGGGGGGGGGGGCTAACAATGCCCTCCCCTCCCCCCCCCCCCCCCCCCCCCCCCCCCTTTCTGCTGCGTAGGAACGGAGGCAGCGTAGCACAGTAGGAACTGCGCATTACAAGAGTAATCCAAAAAACGCGGTGCCATCACGGTCACATTGTTTGCGTGGTGGCACTTCAGAGATAGCGCTGCAACGATCCCGAACAAGAGATGCATGTTTGAAGAGTCCTTTATATAGTCACAGTGCGTGTAATTCCAATAGAAGGCGTTGCTCGTTCAAATCCCCACAAAGTGCTTCGTACCTTTATTGTGTTTGACGTAGCGTCTAAGCCACGTGATTTTTCGTATGCCCCCACAGTTTTTTCTTCAAGATACGTTCTAAAATCTTCCTATTCTGTCTTGCGCAGCACGGTGGACGACACTTCGATCGCATTCGTGGCTGTCGCGGTATTTTTGCCGTGCCCATGACGGGCACGGACATCGAAAAGCGCATCTTGTCCTGGAGCGTCGTCTGTAACAAGATGTCCTGGGGAATGCTTCTCACGTTCGGCGGAGGCCTGGCACTGGCCGACGCCAGCGAGGCAAGCGGCGGCATTTAATTTTTTTTTGCAGGATGCTCGTGAACATCTTTCACTGTTTTACCGCGCCAGCCGACTGATTCTTATGAAACATGCATTCGTGGCAGGGATGGGCAAAATACATGCAAATATGTATCGAAATACAAATACAAGATACTTCGTCAAAAATGTATTTAATTACAAATTTAATTACATTTTCAAAAGCATTTAAGTACAAAATATAAATACAACCAAATGTATTTGGTCTCCTCCAAATACTTTTCCAAATACACTCCTCAAAATTTGCGTCAGTGACTTCAGGGCACCTGCAACAGGTTTCTGGGTATCTCATTTTAATTTTGCATCGCATATCGGGAGTTAGTGTGCGAGGCTCTAGTAACGTAATATAAATATAATCACGAAAAAATGTAATCAGCTTGTACGTAACAGGGGAAAAAATTACAGAACTTCAAGCAGCTTTTTTGTCGATTACATTTTGGTATATACCAACAAAGAACCGAGAAGACCAAAGACGCGCAGCACTAGCCAGAGAAGTTTTTATTCTTGCGACTCGCACCAGTTACGAAACTCTGGACGACCCGCGCATTTAGAATGTTCCAGGCAAAAATATGGATGGAAATCAGGCTGGAAAGCATCACAAGTTGTCACAGGCACTTATTTAGCCAGTCTGCCTGTGAACGTCGATTTCGTCACTATTTTGCCCTGGACTAGCAGGGCAAGAATAGTGATCGCAAAGTGACTAAATGCTTGTGCTTGTTGAGAGACACTGCATTCGGTGCAAAACGTAGTTTTCTTCTTGCTCTGGACAGTGCCTTTAAAATAAAGTCGGAGGAGAAAAAGAAAAAAAAGCCCCATGGTCGAATAATGGATGGAGACTATATCTTACAACCATATGCATAAAAACAAGATGTAATTTCACCCACAAAATTGTATTTAATTACAATTGTATTTTAAATACGCACGTTTTAGTATTTAAATACACACGGCAAATACATTACCCAATTCGTAATTAAATACAAATGCAAAATACACAAAGTATTTAAAATACGTATTTCAAATACTTGTATTTGAAATACTGCCCATCCCTGATTCGTGGGCACATAAAGTGCCATGTTTTATCGAGTTCAGTCGACTCTGTACTTACGCGTTCCAGCACGCAGTTTTCAATTGCCAAGACTCGGGTGAATAAACTCGTAGATTAAGATGAGGCGGCATGGCAAGCACGTTCATACGCTTTTTAAAACGGACGTGTAGGGGACACAGTGAAACAAAACTTGAAAGTATAAAACAGAGAGGACGAGGACGGGAACAGGACATCTTTCAAAGATGTCCTGTTCCCGTCCTCGTCCTCTCTGTTTTATACTTTCAAGTTTTGTATCTATTAACCAACACGCTCGTTTTCAACTGACACAGTGAACCTTACGTGATTTGTAGATCATGCTGGCAATTTATAGGTAATGAACTGCATGAAGTACCTGATTTGTAGATATTTATTTTACGACGGTAATCATTGCTACGTCTCTGAAGTAGACTTCATAAATCATAGTGATATCTTTAGACTTCGGTAGGGCTTTATTTGGTCGGCAATGTGAGCAGATGAAGTGTGATTTTAATTATAAAATGTCGACAATATGCTCTATCTTTCGATGATGACATAGTTCATGATGTGGTGTCTTATGATGTGATATTATACATTGAATATGTTTAATGAGCAGGGCGATTCACTACACATAAAGCGGAAAATGATGTGACAGAAGTGCATAAACAAGAAAACTCCCGTGGTGTAGTTTTTTAGCACACCGCAATATGAAGATAATACTACACTGCCATTGACTTCGGCATCCTTTCGAATTTTCGACACCACAAGAATAGCTCGAGATTCGTTAGAGTTTCTGAATAAAAGAGACTCAAAAGAGGTTTAGCGCCCATTATTTCAAAATGAGACATCATCACAGACACTCGCTTCTCCATCGAGACCGCTACTCTTCCTGTGTGAACCAAGCACCGCAGCACCTCCATCTGGCCGGCCTCCTAGGTTTCGTCAGTAAATATATATCTTTCAGTCACCCACATAATAGCTGTACGGTTGTATTACAGATTAAAAAAAATATAGCGCTTTCTTTTTATGCGATTTCACTGCAAGTCTGAAAAGAAACGGAACTGGGAGTATACTATTGTTAAGATTTTGTTAAGATAGAGCAGAATACAAATTCAAGCATTCTAAGAGGGTCGTTGCCTTATCGGCGTAACATAACATAAACGGCGCAAACCAAATACATAAGACTAAATAAAAATGAAAGATAGAATCGCTTTTAGGTGATATGTTGTTATAATATATATTATTTATCGTCTAAATGACTCCCATCGAAGACAAAATATACTGTAAAAAAACGATGTCATGTCTCTTTTCTAACGATTTCGTTATGGAAACGAGATCCGTAAATGAAGCATTTTTAGACGCTTGAGACTAATGCCCAAAGACGAGCTAAGGACAAAACCGGAACGAATTCTGCATGAAATTTACGTTCATGACGTTTCTTTTCTACCCATTGTCTTTTCGTGTTTCCTAGTAGATGACGTCATCAGTAACGATGACGATGCGGATACCGATGACGTTATCAATGACGTCACTGATGACGTCATCAGTAATGATGACGGTGCGGATGCCGGTGACGTCATCAGTGATGATGACGATGACGATGCGGATGCCGGTGACGTCACTGATGACGATGACGATGCAGGTGCCGGTGACGTCATCAGTGATAATGACGATGACGATGCGGATGCCGGTGACGTCATCAGTGACGTCACTGATGACGTCATCGGGTTCACGTGACTTGGGGAGTCTCGTGACCTCGGGAAATCACGTGGACTTGGGGTGACCTTGGGGGGTCACGTGACCTTGGGGTGACCTTGTGGTGATCTTGGGGGTCACGTGACCTTGGGGTGACCTTGGTTACGCCGACTCCGACGTTGCGGCGTTTTTGTGAGATGCAACAGGTTGCCTGCAACCTATTGCATCTTCTCTGAGCTGCATGCAACAGGTTGCACAGGATGCAACAGGTTGCATGCAACAGGTTGCACATGCAACCTGTTGCATGCAACTTGCGGTTACGCCGACGGCGACGGCGACGCCGACGCCGCTCAGGCTGGAAACGGGCCCCTAAGAGCTGCGCTCTAAAAGGGAACTGAACCCTTTCAGTGAGATAACAACGCTGGAGGTCTGGGCCAGGACCAAGCGCGAGCTTTCTGCGTTTGATCAAACTTGGTCGCACGCGCATCCCAAGCCCGGGAGAAGACAGTAAGCACGTGCAGGGGAGGCGGAGCGTGGTTCTTAACCTGTCCCTGACTATAAACGCGCTTGCTTGTTTCCTTTGCGCAGGCGACGAAACTATCGGATGACTTCGTGACCTTCGTGCAGGGTCTGAATATAGTCAACCCGGTGGTGATGCAGGTATTGCTCTCCCTGAGCGCCAGTTTCCTGACGGAGTTCACACCCAACGACGCGGCTGCCAGCATGCTCCTGCCCGTTGTCATCACTGTGGTGGGTTCCTGTCTATAGACCAACACGCGGCTCTGACGTCACTCCTCTGCGGTGGCGCTGTTGTCGCCACGGCGCATGCGCAGAAGCTTCACCACACACGAATCTGGTTTGGGCGTTTGCGCAGTGCCCACACCTGGTGTGGGCAGGTACGGGCTTGTTTGTAAACAGTGTGTCGGTCTATACTTCAATATCTATCGTTCGGCACGCAGTCGTTGACGTTGAAAGGGATATGTTCAACCAGCGCCTATTAAGGCCGGTTCGCAAGTGCATCGCAGCACTGAGATAGCGCGTAGTCAGCCCAACACCAGAGCGCTACTAGAGAGTTTTAGTAGATCTTTTTCAGAAGCCCCTCTACCGCTACGGGCGCGCGCTTCAGAGCATGCATCAAGCGGCAGCGCGAGCTCCCGCTACAAATAGCGTGACCTGAAAACGCGATCCTTCTAGAATTTTTTATTGTCAGCACTTATATAGACGTTTTCTGTTTCCTGTAGTCCTCAGTCATGTGAGTTCCGTATCTGGTAAGCGGGACAAAAAATAATAAAACATTTCAACCAGGAATATAAGAGAAAATATAGGTGAGGTTGTCTAGAAAAATAAACGAAACTCGAACTACTCTCGATCCATCCGAGTCAAAAGCAGTCCAACTGTAAATAAGGTAACAGTAGCACGTGACTACCATACTTCAGCCTGTCCGTCGATTTAGAACACGTTCCATTTCTTTTTTTGGGGAAGTGCTCGTGTGACCGGGAGGGAGGCGGGGGAGTGGGGGGAGGGGGGTAGAAGGGGAGGGAGCCGCGAGCCGCACTTTAACACGCGAAGAGCCGCATGCGGCTCGCGAGCCGCCGCTTCGCCACTAAAATAGACCGATATAACCAGACAGTTATACCCGTGCAACACGGGCATCTCGAATGCCATTTACAACAAATGATATTCGCCCCAAATGTTATTCGACTGGTGCTACACGGCCTGCCCGAATGACATTCGCTGCAAATGCCATTTGCCACCGAAGGGGTTTGGCGGAACTCATTCGCATTGGGTCATGGGCCAAATGTGCAGCCTCTACCCAGGGCCCCAAGTAAAAAAACACCAATGTGATTACGTTATTCAAAGTATACCCGAACTAAAAGTTATTTTTTTTGTGTTTGTTTTTATGTACGCATTCTTTTATACTGGACTTGAAGCGCGGCTTGTCAGATAATTGCAAGCGGCTACTCTTTAACCCAGTAGACACAACCACCTCGCCTGCGTCGCCTTCTTTTTCCCCTTTCTTCTCGGTTTTGTTAAAGTTTTGCTTGAACTTCAAAGTTTCTTCCGGTGGAGCCGCAAGCGCCACAAGCAGCCGCGATTGGTGCACTGGGTGGTGCGCAGCGAAAGCAGCAGCCAGATCCACGGAGTTCGAGAGCAGCCATTCTTCGATTTCACGAACGCGATAGTGAACGTCCTCTGCTTCTGCTTCGAGCCTTTGCTGCTCGGCACGGTGCTTGGCGCATAAATAAATGAGGGCGCTCATTAACCGTCGCGCCCGTTTACCGTCCTCCGGCGCAAGGACCGAAACTCGGGACTGCACAGGCGCCATTTCCTTTCGCTTTGGTTAGCTTCTGTCTTTTGCTTTGGATTATTGCGGCTAAAGCAATTAAAGCGTCACAAACAAATGAATTACAGCGGAAACGCAAAAAAAACAAAACAAAAGAAAACATAAAGTAACTGACTGCAAAATTTGTTTAAAACTACGTATAGACATTTTTAGAGATGATAACCTTGAAGAAACGTATTTAGCTTACAAAAACTTTACAATTAGTTTTCTTCAGAAAGCAGGCGCTATCATCATGATGGCGCAAAATTACATTCGAAATGTACGTGTACGTGATGGCTTGAAATGAAATGTCATTTGGCGCCCGAATGAGATTCGCCCTGAATGGCATTTCCCGCGTCCGTGTGGCACGGGTATTAGACTACGTCACCGCTTCCGCAATGCATGCATCGAGGGAACTTTAGTCTTTCTGCACGTGCGACAACCCCGCTGGAGCTCTGCGCGTGTCGAACACGAGAGGGCACGAGCCCTCGCACGCACGGCCGTCTACTCCTTGTGAACTAAAGTTATGGCGGCGTCACGTATGCGGCGAACGCTTCGTGAGATCCGTCTAATCGGCTTTTTTGCGTATGGAGCTCTAAGTTTTTAGTTTTGACGGCATAGTTAAGCGAATAGAAAGTCTAGAGACATCATTATCTTGCGGTGTCAAAAAAATTACATCTGTGTTTCTTTAAAAAAAATATATATATATATATATATATATATATATATATATATATATATATATATATATATATATATATATATATATATATATATATATATATATATATATATATATATATATATATATATATATATATATATATATAGCTTTCTTTCGTGCAAAATCTTTGAACAATTGCTAAACTTTTCTACACTTCCCGATGGCTGGAAAATAGGAAAGGTGGCTCCACTTCACAAATCAGGTGACATACATAGTCCTCATACCTACAGGCCTCCCTTACTTGTACACCCTGCAAAATTATGCAGCATGTCATTTACTCCCACCTTGTTGACGTTCTAGATTATAATTCTTTTTTCAATCTTTGTCAGCACGGCTTTTGTAAACTTTTTTGTGCGAAACTCTACTCCTGTCTCTTGTCTAATGACTTACTTTCTATTCTAGATCGTGGATCCCAGGTTGGCTGCTTTTTTCTTGATTTTAGCAAAGTATTTGACGAAGTTTCCCACAAGCTTCTACTCCCCAAACTTAGTAGACTTAACACTGACCCCGCCGTTTTATTTTGGATTAGAGACTTTCAGACAAATCGATCTCAATTTGTCTTTACTAATCAAGCTAATTTTTACCTCAGTTCCGTCACCTCACGTGTTCCACAAGAATTCGTCTTAGGCCCTCTATTATTTTTAATCTACAAAGACGACTTATCTCAGAATCTATCTTCCTTTGTTAGTCTATTTGCGAACGACTGTGTGAACTATCACGAATTCCCTAATAACTCTGATGCTCAACTTCTTCAGACTGACTTAGACACTGTTTTAAACTGGTGTAACGCGTGGTGTATGTCTCTTAACATTAACAAATGTAAAACGATGCGAGTAACTCCGACGTAATTCATCTCCACTTTCATACACCCTTGGTACCTCCCCCTTGGAATCGTAGCTTCCTACAAATATCTTGGAGTTCATATTACTGATAACATGACATGGAACGCTTACATCAATCATATCACTGCTAGCGCTAACTCCATCCTCGGTTACTTAAAACAAAATTTTACCTAAGCAGCAATGTTACTGAAATTAATTTTATTGAGAACCCTGGCACTCTCTAAATTAGAGTACGCTGCAGCAATCTGGGATCCCGGTCACACCACACTCGTATCTAACATTGAAGCCATTCAAAACCATGGCGCGCTTTATCTTTCGTAATTATCATCGTTCAACATATTTGTCATCTATGAAATCTAACGAATATTTTCCCCTTCTCTCTCTGCGCCGTAAAGGATCTCGTCAATTGCTTTTTTTTTTTTATAAAATTTACTTCTCTATCTCTACACTGAAAGGAAAACTTATTCTTCTCTCCCCGCATATTTCCTTTCACCTTGATCATCAGTATAAAGTTGAAATTTCCCAGTGTCGCACCTCCACCTACCTTGACTCTTTTATTTCCCGGTCGTCATACCAGTAGAACCACCTTCCCGAATCTTTAGTGTCCATATCCTCGATCGATTCTTTTAGAGAGGCCATAACCAGCCATTTTGTCAGCGGGCCCCATGACTGCTTTTTGTCTTGCTAAAGTTTCGTATTTGTTCGCATTTTCATGTTATGTTTTGTTGCTTGCCCCTCTTCTCTGTAAAGCCCTCGGGCCTTGAAAATACTGAAATAAATAATGAACATAAATATACGCCAAAGAGATTGTAGCGCGTGGTGCTGCACATTTGCCTCTACCGGACTGCAATCTAGGGGCATTCGCTTTTTGCGCACCCAACACCGTCACATGGCAGGAGCCCGTGGACGTTTTTTGAGCTGATGCCGTAGTTCTACGGTTATTTATGCAGCATAGTAAACCTATGCACCGACCAATTTTAGAGCGCAGCTCTTAGGCGCTCGTTTCCGGTTTGAGCGGGGTCGCCGTCGGCGTCGGCGTAACCGCGCGGTGCATCATGCGAAACGTCCCATAATGCACACGCCGAAACGTCACCATGGCGCAACGTCACGTGACATTTAGGTGCCACTGTGACGAAACGTCACTCGTGACGTTTCGGCACCACGCCGAAACGTCCTCCGCCTCCGGAACCACGCGGAACAACATGACAGATGTGACGACGCTGAAGACGTTAAAGGAGTACTCTTGCGATTTTTTGTGCTACCTCAACTAACTATATTTTTCGACTCCCCGGCCATTATCCTTTCCGGTGTGCTATTTTATTTTATCTCGAAATTCATAATAGTTATTGCGAAATCGGCAAACGAAAATGATGCAAAAACCAACATTCAAATATACCCGCACTTTTCAGTGCCGTGACGTCAGGGGAAGGCAAGCTTGCCAGTCGAGCGAGCAGTCTAATAAATAGAATATGCCCATCATTTGTTCCGTGCTGGAGCGCGGGACTGGAGCGAGCTTCCAAAGCATTCATCTGACTTCTTGAAACTGCTTGTAATCGGTTGGGAACAAATTCTACAGTCCAAAAAGTAAACCCCTGCACTTCCACTGACGTCACTTTTTCGTTATTGCCAGTAGTGACTTTCAGATCGAAAAACACAGTGAGGACCAAAATCGTAAACTCAATAACTTCGTGAAAAAGTTATTTTGGCCTAATATTTGGGATACTATAATGGCGATGTTGTTTGGCGAGTTTAGCAAAATTCCAAGCAAATCGGGGACTATGAAGAAATCGCCGGAGTACCTTTTTAAGGCCTGACCACAATAGCGTCGCGGAGGCTTGGCGTGCGACGCTGGCCGAGACCGGCTGCCGACCAAAACCAGTTTTTGCCCTCATCGGCGTGCCGGCCGGCGCCTCCAAGCCAACCTGTCCTTGCGCGGTTCAGAGCTCGCCGCTCCTCGCCGTTGAAGGAAGGAGCCAATAGGAAATGGCGCAGATAGTGACGTTGCGATGCCATGGCAGCGCTCATCCCGCTTCTATGCGGGTCTTTCACGTTGCCAAGAAGTATAGCGTTGTTTCGTTTCGTCTGCTAACCCTCTTTCCTCCAACGGAGGTGCTACTCGCAACTGTGCGACTGTTTCCTTCTTTATACGACAAGACGAAGCCAGACTACCTAGATAAGGACGCTAAGGACAACCGCTGGGCAATTATAGGAGAGGAATTCGGTATTACAGGTGACTTTCTCCGTGGCACTCGTTGCATGTCGCCTGTGTTCTGACGGATGCCGTATTGATTTGGTGACACTCTCGAAAGTAGCCTTCATTTCTGGCACGCAGCCGGGGCAGCAAAGCACTGATCTGTCCCTCCGGGTTTCGGTAGCACCAACTCGGTCAGACCCAAAACCTGCGCCTCCTTCCCTTTAGACGCGGCGACGTCGCAAGATCAACGAGCAGGCTAGGATGACCACGTTTACGCTGATCACCAGGTTATCATGGACACCTGTCATGTAGGCAGCGAGTGCGGTTTCGATGCTGATATATGCGAAGGATGAGAGCCGAAACGGAAGAATCTAACAAAGAGCAGACGACGGAAGAGGAAAAATCCGGCGGGAGGCGCGCGCGCGATCGCGAGAACCAGGACAGTCACGGACCGCAAAACAAAGGCCAATGTGGCCTCCTCGCGTTGGGACGCCGGAAAGCGGTGCCGATGTCGCTTGTGTGGTTCAGAGGCGTAATGGCAGAGTCTGGCCATTGGTCTGTTTAGTGCGCAGCTCTTAGGCGCCCGTTCCCGGCTTGAGCGGCGTCGCCGTCGCCGTCGCCGTCACCGTCGGCGTGACCGCGAGTAACCCTCGTAACCCTCGTGAGGGTTACGAGGGTTACTCTCACGAGGATCGCAAGGGCTACGAGGGTTACTAACCCTCGTAACCCTCACGAGGGTTACGAGGGTTAGTTACCCTCAAAAGGGTTACCCTGACGAGGGTCACGAGAGTTACCCTCACGAGGGTCACGATGGTGACGAGAGTTACAACCACGAGGGTCACGAGAATTACCCTCACAAGGGTTACTTGGGTTACCCTCACGAGGGTCACGATGGTTACCCAGGTCACGTGACCCCCCTCCCCAGGTCACGTGACCCCCGTTGACGTCATCCCCACTGATGACGTCATCAGTGACGTCACTGATGACGTCACCGGCATCCGCATCGTCATCGTCATCATCACTGACGACGTCATCAGTGACGTCACTGATGACGTCATAGGCATCGGCATCCTCATCATCATCACTGATGATGTCATCAGTGGCGTCACTGATGACGTCATCAGTGACGTCACTGATGACGTCACCGGCATCCGCATCGTCATCGTCATCATCACTGATGACGTCATCAGTCACGTCGTCAGTTACGTCGCTGATGACGTCATCGGCATCGTCACGTGACCCCCAGGTCACGTTATATCCCACGGTAACGTGACCCCCCAAGGTCACGTGACCCCCCAAGGTCACGTGACCCCCCAAGGCCACGTGACCCCCCAAGGTCACGTGACGCCCCCGCCACCCGAGGTCACTTGACCCCCCCCAGTGCCCTTTTCTCCTCCTCCTCAAGAGCTGCGCTTTAATTCGGCGTTACAGAGAGTTGTAAACGGCTTTCATTTTTACAAAATGCGTCGCCATTTTGTCAAAACAAGGCTGGGACAGAGTTAGGGAGACAACACGAAGTGCTACTTTAAACTAAATGCTTATTGAAACAACACACACTATTTGTACACCCAATCGGACTTCTTAAGCAAGAATTCAGATTCCTTGTATGTTCGATGGACTGACGGGACACATTTTGTCAAAAGAGATCATGTACGAACTGGCCCATCTGTCACTATTCATGCAGATTATTCATCGAGCTATGCATTAACTCTTAGCAACAACAAATATTTGTCAACAGAGATCATGTACCAACTGGTCCATCTGTCACTATTGATGCTTGATGGTGGTAGCGAGGAAGGCGCTGAAGAGGAGAAAAGTGAATGAAAGGGAGAAGAGCGCCGAAGGTGCGAGAGAGAAAGAAGTGAGCAAAGAGGAGACGACCGCCATTTTAACGCAACACGCTGTCAACGCAGAGCTCTGTTGAGGCTTCGTGCCATCTGCTACGGGCTTATTTCTTTTTAGCCTGAATAAAAGTTTGCTTTCTAACGTGGAGAAAACTTCACTCGTTAGCTTTTTAAGCCACCAAGGAATAGCAAATATTGTTTTCTTGCCAGAGCCTGCCAAATAAAAGGAAAGAACCAAAATTTGGATGTCGATCCTTTGCATTCCGCCAAGCGAATGAATGGAAATGTCCTCCCTCCCCGCTCAGCTGGGAGCAACCGGGAGTTCCACGCGCATACGCTCACGCCTCTCGCTTTGCGCCGAGGGCTTATTGGCTCACTCGGGATGGGGCGTTTTGGCGGCGAGATCATAGACTGGCCAAACTCTCCCAATATACGGCTTTGATGTGATCCAGAGGGTTTGGTCAATTGGAGGCGCGGGCAGAGCCAGGGCGTGCACCAGACGCAGAAAGAGGGCTTTCCATGCTCTCTTGGTCAACCAGAATCTGAAAAGAATCCCCTAGCGGTGGTAGCGAGAAACAGTCTTAATTATAGGTATATGGTTTCAATAAGCGCGTAAGAGGTAAATGTAGTAACGCTTCATGGTTGAAAATAGGGTGCACATAATGTTTCGATAATGATCACGCAGAAAGATGTCAGAGCCGAATGTGCCGCTAAACTCTGTTTTGCTCGGACAGATTGTGACCGCTCCAACGAGGTAAAGGGCTTAGAGCAAGAAACTGGTGGCTGAAAGTGATTTCCGATTGGCCACCGCCATGTTGCAAATTTTCGACCACTAGACCTTTGACTTTAGAGTTTTACGTGTCGATTTTAATCAAGTACCACACACAAATAATTGCTTCTCGATTTTTAATAGCGTTACAGCCGAGATAAGTCATGTTTCGTTTGTTTTAAGTCCAAAATATGCTTGCGCTAGATGCGTGCGCAAGGTGCGCAATCCCTGCGCTAGATGCTGTCAGCCGCGGTGCTGTATTTTGGGTGTTTCTCGGAGCGAGACCCTGATCTCTGGGTCTAAAGGTATTGAAAAAATAGTTTATCATGCTTTTCACAGCGATCGCAATACAAATCGCGGCTCAGTTTTGCATAAAATACTCAGGATTTAATACGGTCACGAGTCTAGTGGTCAAAAGTGTACAACATGGCGGCAGCCAGGTGGGTGTCACCTTTGGTTAGTGAACGGGATACCAGTTCATCGCTCTAAGTCCCTCTACCACTTTGGACCGCTCGGAAGTCACATTTTCGGCCCTCGCGCCTGGCGTACGGATTATGTCGATTGTTCGCCGGGCCCAGTCCCGAAGTTGGAACTTTCGCATCAAAGATGACGTTTCATGAAGAAATAAAAGTCAGAAGGCCTCGATTACTTTATAGTCGGTTAAAGGCTATGAATGAGGCTGCGCCTCCAGCACGCGCTTATTTCCGTTCTTAGGGCTTTGGCTGCCCATGCGACGAAGTGTTATCAAAGACCAAAAGCTGACGCTGGAGGTGAAATATTCGCTGCATTGTTAACGTTTTACCGATTCTATGTGGCATTGACTCAGGCATTAAGGCTGCCTTTCCGCGCAGTGATTTTTTCGCCAATATTTTTGTCACTTAATACATATGAAAATGATAAAACTGCATCAGTTCGCCCCCCCCCCCCCCAATATGAAACTATAGGGCCTTTTCATTTATGTCGAAAGTTACGTTAAATTCGGCTAGCAAACAGGTGCCAAATCTGTGCGGCTTAGGAAGAAAGAAAAACTTTCAGCCTTTCCATCTGTACGCTCGTCCTGTGTGTCTCTTCTTCGTCCTCGTCTGTTTTGCGCGCTGTTGAATTCCCACTAACTCGCCCAACTATTCATTTTTCTGTGATAGCTGGAAAGGTTTCGCCATCTTTGAGTGACGGCGGCAACAAGACTGGTTGTGTGGTTGCCGCCGTCACTCATAGATCGGTAGCTGTTCAGAGTTTTGTGTAGTTTTGTGTCGACATTTTTTTGGTACCGGACACAAGATTGGGGAAAGTAGCCCTTAACAGCTCCGCTCTAAGAAAGAACTCTCGGGCATCCGAAGATACACATCCACATATGATGCTGATATACTATGCGGACTCAGTTAGAAGCGCGGACATAAAGGACCACACATAAAACCATCATGCTAGAGATAGTGCTATCAAAAGGGCACGGTTCTCCGATTGGCTTGCAGGCATGTGGCTTGCGCATCAACCCTCTGTACTTGGCCGTTCCCGTGTCTTTGGCAGTGACACAGTCGTGTATCCTGCCGGCATCGTCTTCTGTCATTACCATCATTGCAGACGAAGGACACATCACCACCAAAGACCTGGTCAGTTTGGTTGGTCACCTGCTGTGTTTCGCGGGCATAACAGGGCAGGCACACAACCCTGGAGTCCCGAGCTGTGTGCCTGTCCTGTTAGAGAAATGCGAACAAAAGGGCGTCTGCGCCTCAATAGACGTAATTTTGTTCGCAAAAAAGAGCCCATGTCTTGAGCCTTTTTTGACTCTGCAGCGCCGCTCGGGATGTGTGACTTCTTTAAAGATTTTAACGCGCTTTGGTCACGGGAGGCCTCAATAGAAGCCCTTGTGTTTGAAACTTTTTTTTTTTTTTTTTTTTACAGAGAGAGAGAGAGAGTGAAAAAAAAGGACTACAAAACTAGACAATATAAGCCTTGAAGGCAAGCTTGAACGCAATAGATTTGCTCACGTCAACTGTTGGAAGTTTTATGCGCTGGAACCTAAAAGAAAAATTAACACATCATGACAAAATAAACCTCTAACGTAACGTATTTGCTCACGTAAACTGTTGGCATATGATATGCGCTATAACCTAAAGTCCCTTGTCAATGCACAGTTTTTTTTTTGTAACAACAGACATTCTACGGAAAGAACTTGACATTTTTCAGTTTATTCTGTCGAGAGGCGTGGTTGTTCATTTAATTTTTCTTCTAAACCTACTTTTATAACTAATAAATTTTACATCTGCGTTTGAGACCTCGTTAAGACCACGTTCTGGGAGAGGTGACCTTCTGGCACTCCGCTCACGCGTACTCCAACCAGCTAAACAAATCACACTCATAAAAAAGAGCAGGATCACGGCGCATTTTTCGTGCGTGATTAGTTTCGCCGGCAATAGCAAAAACATAAAGGCAAAGAGCGCCATGACGATTCACTTTTGCCGCTGCTTGATTGGCTCCGTCCTATTGTAGTGTTGGCAGCGATCGGATCTTATGTGAAACGGGTATTTGGAAGGCTATTCTGATATCAACGGACCTTTTCCACATACCGACGGGGCCAGGCGGTGGCTGCACGAACTAAAAATAAAGGAAGCGACTTGGGCTAGCAGTTTCTTCACTGTCTGAGCTGCGGCACGTGCTCGACGGCACGCGAGCCACGCGATTATTACGAAGGTATGCACCAGGGATGGGCAGTATTTAAAATACAAGTATTTGAAATACGCATTTCAAATGCTTTGTGAATTTTGCATTTGTATATAATTACGAATTGAGTAATGTATTTGACGCGTGTATTTAGATACTAAAACGTGGGTATTTCAAATACAATTGTAATTAAATACAATTTTGTGGGCGAAAATACATCCTCAAATTTATTGTCACAGTCCAGAGCAGGAAGAAAACTACGTCCTGCACCGAATGCTGTGTCTCTCAATCAAGCACAAGTGTTTGGTGACTTTGCGATTACGGTGCTACTCCAGGGCAAGAATAGTGACGAAATCGACGTTCACAGGCAGACCGGCTAAACAAGTGCCTGTGACAACTTGTGATGCTTCCCAGCCTGATTTTCCTCCATATTTTTGCCTGGAACATTCTAAATGCGCGGGTCATCCAGATTTTTGTAACTGGTGCGAGTTGCAACAATGAAAAATTCTCTAGCTAGTGCTGCGCGTCTTGGTCGTCTCGGTTCTTTGTTGGTCTTTACCAAAATGTAATCGCCAAAAAAAAGCTGCTTGAAGCTCTGTACTTTTTTCACCCATTACGTCCAAGCTGATTACATTTTTTTTGTGATGATATTTCTATTACGTTACTAGAGCCTCGCACACTAACTCCCGAGTGTGCAATGCAAAATTATAATGAGATACCCAGAAACCCGTTGCAGGTGCCCTTAAGTCGCTGACGCAGATTTTGAGGAATGTACTATTTGGAAAAGTATTTGGAGGAGACCAAATACATTTGGCTGTATTTGTAACTTGTATTTATATACTTTTTTGGAAATGTAATTAGATTTGTAATTAAATACGTTTTTGATGAAGTATTTCGTTTTTGTATTTCGATACATTTGGTTGTATTTTGCCCATCCCTGGTATGCACCTAGGGACTTTCATAGCTCGTGATCAGCTTCGTAGGGGGAACCAGGTGGAACCCGCGAAAAACAAAGTAACCCAGCGAGCAGCGATGGCGACGGCAGCGGACGGGTGTGGCAGGGGGCAACCAGAAGCATAAGGCCTCATTCACACATCAGTTTTTTACGCCGCCCCAGCCAAAGAGCCGGACGGCGTTCCCGCCGGGGGAGAAGGTTTTCGGACCGGTATGGGACTGAAATCGGGCCGCCGGAGCCAAAATGAGCCGAACGAAGGTGTTCTATGTTCCCGGCGGCGGCGGGAGATGGGGGACGCGGGTGCCCCGTCCCTTTGAGGGACGGCCAATCACAAAATAGGAAACTTTCGCTCAATCCGGCGGATTCTCAAAAGTCGGGTACCATGGGCACGGCTGCGGGATTGTGTGATGGCGTGAAGTGCTGGTTATTCCGGGTGCAGAGCTGACGACTACGGTGATTAGAGGTACAGCCGCCATTCTAGGTACTTGTTCCCTACAGTTGTTGACTGGTCGCGCGACCAACGCGACTTTAAAGAGGGGCATACGTGGTGTCTACCGAAACGTAATTATTTTCTTTCCGTCCGCTTCTTTTTATTGTGTAACAAAGATATATATGCTGCTATTACGTGTTCTACTCGGTGACCCACAGTCTCCTCTGAATGTCCTCGATTTCTCGTGCCGACTTCCGCCGCTTGGCATCGAGCGCTCGCGCGTGCGCAGAACACTTCTCGGAAAAGGTCCATTGAGTAGCGGTAAGATGCGATCCGCATACGGTAGGCTCGGTCTTCATGCTTTACTTGCACGGCTTTCCGCAGCTGGTACCTGGCATCATGGTCAAGCTCGTCTGCCAGATTGTGAATCTCGTCTTTATCAACACGTCGGGCCAACAGGTGTTCAGGCTGAGCAAGTTTCCCAGTTGGGCCCAGAACTGCTCGACCGCCTATACCGGGAAAACTGTGCAGTAGTTACCATCGCGGCACTTGGAGCACGGATATTATTTAGATGCAAACTGTACCGGCTTATTAACGAAGATTATTTGAGAAACAAAACAAAACAAAACGTTTCCTTTTATGTGTCATATAGACTTATGTTTTCTGAAGGTTATGGTGGAATAATATACTTATATTAATCGTTAATCGTCAGTTTGGAATGCTTGAGTCGTCGATTTTTGTTCTTCTGACAATAAAGGGCGCGGCTCCCTCGAACAGTCTGCTGCTACAAGAAGATTACCCTCGTCATTGTTTACGAACATGTTCCAGTATGAAGCTGGTTTTAGAGCGCAGCTCTTAGGTGCCCGTTTCCGGCTTGAACGGCGTCGCCGTCGCTGTCGGCGTAACCAAGGTCACCCCCAGGTCACCCCAAGGTCACGTGACCCCCCTTCCAAGGTCACGTGACCCCTCCCAAGGTCACCTCAAGGTCACGTGACCCGCCTTCCCCCGAAGTCACGCGACACCCCCCCCCCCCCAGGTCACGTGACCTCCCTCCCTCCCCCCGAAGTTACGCGACACCCACCCCCACCCGAGCATATTAAAGAATGAGGGGAGAAGGAGAAGGACGAGGAGGAGGAGGGGTCTACCCTCCCCTCAGTACCCTTCCCTCCTCCTCCTCAAGAGCTGCGCTCCAATTCGGCGTTACAGGCAGTTGTAAACGGCTTTCACTTTTTTATTCACTGTTTGACATAAAATAAAACGAAGCTGAAATTATAATATACTGACATTAATTGTTAATCGTCAGTTTGGGATGCTTGAGTTGTGCTTTTTTGTTCTTCTGACAATAAAGGGCGCGGCTCCCTCGAACATTTTGCTGCTACAAGAAGATTACCTTCGTTATCGTTTACGAACATGTTCCAGTATAAAGCTGGTTTTTATTCACTGTTTGACATAAAATAAAACGAAGCTGAAATTCGACCCTTACTGTACGAACCGAAAAAGAAATGTCTGTATCGCATTATTTAGCATCTTAATCATATACAAAATGTCACAAAAAAAATATAGCACGTTTTTTTTTCTTGCAAAAAAAACCACAAAAAAAACTAGACATCGCCGAACGCTCATTTTCCGCCCAAAGGTAGCACTAGAGGTCGCAACCAGGTGTCAAAGTTCCAGCCCGATCCGATGCCGTATTCAAAAGTTATAACTGATTTTCTGAAAATTTCAATGGGAAGATGGTGGCCAACAGAGTTTTCGAATGCCTGGGGCTCTATGACACCAGAAACCGAAAACGGGCAAAAATGGGCTCCATTTTCCCATTGAAATTTTCTGGAAATCTTTATAACTTTTAAATAAGGTATCAGATCAGGCTGAAACTTTGGCATCTGGTTGTGACCTCTAGCGCTACCTTTGGGCGGAGAATGAGCGTCCGGCAATACCTATAGTTTATTTTTGAGGTAAAAAAAAAAAAAAAAACCTTTCAATTTTTTTTTGTTACACCCTGTACAATAAATAGGTTACCTATGGATATTGAATTTTGTGTACATATTTCTCTTAACACTAAAAAATTGTGAGTCAAGATAACACTGGGTCGGCAGGCTTCCTTCACAAAAAGGTCCTTTTTATATTTTTATTGACTTTCTCACAAAAGGATTACGGAATACACCGCGCGGCAAGCATAGGTTGGATACAACATCGACACTTTTTCGAGATTTGCTTGGGCGCAGTATTAATGAGCACGAACTTCTACGTGATACAACGTACATGATTACAACTTTTAATTTGTGTTTTATGCTACGCTGCTTCTCTAAGCTGCTGCAGTTTGTGTAAGCAACTATGCCCTGCATTTCTGAAGACACCCGTGCTCGAGTACATATACTGGTGTACTGTTTATCTTCATATTGGTGAACATTGATTGCAGTCACCTATTTGCGAAGCAGGAGACTTATTGGGCTTAAGTCCCCGATATTGCCATTGAATAGCTTTTGCCGGCACTGTAAAGTACGTTTGAAAATGCAAAAGTTTAAAAAAAGCATCGTGGTCTCTAAAACCACTGGTAAAACGTGTCACTCTTGCAGGCCCTAATTGTCTTTTTTTAGAGTGGAAGACGTATCGTGCTTTACAAGTTTTCGATTTCTATTTTGCTAAACTCTCCGCCGTTTAAAAAGCGCTAAAGGACTCAATGTCCAACGGGTCACCTAACATTAGAATCATAAAGTTAGTTGGGACAAAATGGCTAGCGGGTCCTTATCTCCATTAGGCCCCATTTTTAGTTCACTTATGCCAGAAAACGAGGTAGTGATGTTGCGGTGGGCCAGTTTTGTTCTTGCCCTGATGTTGCCATATCGTTGAAAATCTTCCATGTTGAGAAGACCTTCCCTCAAGGCAGTGTTGTGCACAAACTAAAACGAAATATCATTACCCGTTAGTTCTCAAAGCATTAACGGGTTACTGACACATGTTACCGTCATGTATAGCGAAATACTGTTACCATTTCATGCAAAAACTAACGAACGTTACTGTTGAGTTACATTCAATTTCGGTATTTGACAGTTTAAAACCACAGTTCAAACTTGGACAATAATTAAACCTAAATTTTGCAGAGTCATTCGTGCGTCTTTAATAATCTTCACAGTAGGAGTGAGATCCCCGACAACTGGTTTTCTTAACAGCGTTCAATCTAGGAATGACACTGCGCTATTCGATCTGAACAGGTATTCGCACACCTATAATTTTTATCCTTCGCTTTTCTAGTTTGTAGGATGTAGCGCGGTCCCAATGGCGCGTTCACTCTTTAAAGGAACCGGAAGCGTGACTAATTTTATTCGGAAGTAACGAGTAATGCAATGTTATAGAGTATATATAAACAATACCGTAAATAGTAACGAAGTTAATTCACTCGCTCGTCGTTTTGGGTATCTTAACAAATCCAATACAAAAAAAAAAGAGCTACGTGTTCCAAGTAACGTCGTTACTTTACACGCTGCTTCAAGGTACAAAAGATCACTTAATCTGAACGTACGCAAAATTTGAGAAATATACTTGAAATACTCCTTTTTTTGGAGCTATGTTTGTGGGATATTTCAAACATGCGTCAACAAAGGACTCCTTCCTTCTCTTGAGATTTATTTACGTAAAATCAAAACCTTCAGTCCACGAAAATCGTATAGCCTTGGAGCCGACAACTTTTGATTAGTTAGAACGGCTGGACGCGCGTAGTTGGGAGGGGTGGCTGCTGTCATCTATCGTCGTGGACTGCCTTCCAGATTGCGGATGCAGCCGTCTCTGCTGTCTTGGCGATCGCAGTATACCTCAATCCGTCTGTGGCAGCCCTCTCCCTCGTCGCAGCAAGAAAGGGCGACAAGCTTGGACAGCGCGATGCTCATGCGCTCGCTCGTACCCGGTCTGTCCTAGGGTGCCTACATGTCTGTCTGTCTCAGGGTGGAGACATCCATTGTTGTTTTGAATATGCCAGCGCGTGACGCTCTCGCGCACTCGGTGTGTGACTTGGGCGGTAAAATGGCGTCTATGCATTAGCCAAAGCTACGCGCTCGAGCTGAGTGACACCGGATTGCACGCACTTCAAGATGCATAAAAAAACGATTGGGCGGAAAAATGGCTGAGATGTCACCACTCAAGCAAAAGCGCGCGTGTGTATGTAGGCACTCTAGTCTGTCCATACCGTTAGGAAGGATTTGGTGCTTTATGGACGCGCTGCTTAATGCAAATGAGGGCCGTAGAATGCATTGCCCTAGTGAAGTTTAATAATGCTTCACTCCTCCCTTTCTTTCGCAGTAATGAAGTAACGTCGCAATTTATGGCGACGAGAAACGCGCGTCCGGGTGATACCGTGACCACGGGGATCGCGTTTTAAGGCATGCTTCAAAGGCTCCGGTAGTGCGGTACGCGGAACACGGTGACGGTTTACTGAAAGTCCCCGATTTCTGCTCATACTGCAACTGAACCTTAGCGTTGCTGCAGCGAATGCTTTGCTTACGCTGAAGTTGAAACCTGCTAGGATAGTGCTTTTTTTTTTAGAGTAGCCCAGCATACTGTCGATAGAGAGCAGTGCTACATAGAACATTGCTTAGAATCCTGGTCTGCGTCCATGACAACGTATCATGCCTACATGACAAACGACCTCGTGAAAAGTTTAACGCACGTATACTTATCGCACTGCTAACTCGATTATCTTTTCAGGCGGAATCGTTGTTCAGTGGAATTTAACCAAAAAAAGATCCATGCATCAAATTTTAGAATAGGCTTTGTTTGGTGATTAGAAGATCGGCTTTTATTGAATTCGGACTAATTACAACAACAAAAGACGATATTTCAGCTGAAATACATAATTCACCCCAAATGTCGGCAAACACACAGCACGAATTAATAATATTATTTTAAATTATTTCAATCGTTATATGACAAATTTTAGTAGAGCGTCAAAGAGCTACCTTGCTGTTCTTGTGCTGTCATACAAAAAATAAGCAGAAACAAAATAAAGAGGAAGAACCCAGTTCGCTAATTTGACGTTGAACACGATAAGATAGTGAAAAGGCAGTTCAAGTATCCGAACAGCGTAGCAGCAGCACAAAAGTGACACCACCAAACCTGGTAAACATAAGAAATTTTCTCAGGGCAGTACAAGAACAAACAAAAATAACACTACGGAGACTGTTCGACCATGTCGATGCTTCTCCGCTATGCGTCAGTATACACTATAATCAAGTTTAGAGTAGAGATCAAAATATCGCGGTACTAGTGAAACTGTTAAGTTTTTTTACAGCTAAGCTGTATATGACTCGTTGGTCGTTTTTTTTCGTGTCCTTCGACGGAACAATAGTCGACAGAACAGTAGTCGACAGAGCAGTAGTCGACAGAATAGTCGACTACATCTTGCGCGCCTTATCATTTATCATGTGGTTTCGACACTTGCTTCAATAAGAAAACTACAAAAGAAGTGTCAAAGCCACGTGATAGATAAGGCGCGCGCGAACAATGCGAACCACGTAGCGCTCCCCGCATGCGTTTCTCTGTCA